AGGTACATATTGTATCAGATTCACCAGAACAACCAAACTGTTAACTGTCAAATTTCAAAGAAAAATAGTTAGTACTTATATTGTAAAAAAATATTAAATAAAAGTATTGTTTGTTGGAATTTGAGTGGTTTCATTTGTACATAAAAGGGCTACACGTTATCTTTATTTTTGAATTCCACGACCCTATAGGTTCTCTTATTTTGAAGTACAAATAAATAATTAAAATTTATTTGTAACTTGTATCTTCTGTAACGTCAACTTACTTACTAACATAGGTGTGCATGTGATTCTAATTTCTGTCAAACTTTATGAAATATCTCTTAACCTCTTTCTCTGAACTGAATAAAACTATTGAACCACCTTGGTTCAGTAGTTTTATTTTTGAGGGATCGCATTCGGCAGTTATTCGTGTTCCATTTCACAATTCAACAAAAAAAATCAGAAGACTACTAATTCCAAAAATCATGTACTCATCACCTAAAACCAGTAGTAGTCTTTTTTTATACGGTTAATAAGGTGTATAAAAATGAAAATTTGTACATATTTTGAAATAAGCTTGATACCACAAAGTAGATGATAATAACCACATACTTTTTTTTTTTTATCGCACAACGCCTTCCCAAAGTAGAAAATAAATCTTCTCCACACACTTAGTTCTAATGAGGTCCGACCCTGTCCGTTATGCCATATGGCATGGCGAAAGAACGAATGCGAAAAGATTTAAAGTTTTAATCAACAAAAAGCTTCAACACGGATTTTAATTGCATGCAATCCGAGGTCGTTCATAAAACTAATTGAAAGTAATAAGCAATCTAAATTGGCGGATATAAAGGCGGTGGTAGGGGTAAATCACGACGGATTTTCTAAACTTTGAATCACACCGAAAAACTTGTCGAATAAACTCATGCAGCTTTTTTCAAGTTATTAATATAGTTTGGGGTTAAGTGGAAATCGATAACGCCGTGCGGTAAGAATTTATATGTAATAATAAGATATGGATCATAAATCTTGTATCAAGAAAAAATTAAATTATATAACGCATAGGTACTACATTGTTGTATCGATTTTCAGCTATATATATATATATATAAGTGTCAGGACTTTATGAAATATAATTTTTTCACGATATCGTGGGCAATATCGATTTATAAGTGCAGAGACTTAATGGCCATCCTGCAAACTATTATTTAGGTAAAGTAGCCGCACTGAAATGAGCCTTCCTCTATACAACACGAAATATGGAGTTATGACGCGGTTGAGGCATAAAAAATGCATACCCTAGAAAAATGTTAGATAAAAGTCTAAATACAATGTTGTTTCGTGGTTATAAATACAGCCATTCGGCGTATTACGTTAATGCGTAGGAATTTTATTTTATGTCTGATGCATAATGCATTCGACGTAAAGCGGTAACTACCGGTTGACAAATCTTTTGCTGTTGTTAACATCGTATCTTTTATTAAAACTATACTGACATCTTGGCATTACTTTATGGAGTATCCATAAAACAATACTCAACATTTATACGAATTATACAGAAAAGAGGGACAACATTTCTAGTTAAGAAAATGCATAAATTTTTATTTTAAGTCACACACACAAGTTTTGTGTTTTCAACATAACCTTACTTAAAATTATTGTAATTTGTAAGCAATTAAGATGATTCTAGTGTGTTTTTATCTATTCCCTTTTAATCAGCGTGGTTTTTCATTGATGAAGTGAGCACGGTCTTTTGTGTGTGTTGAGTATTGTCTTCTGATTGGTCGATGGTTACTACGCAGTTGAGTGTAAAAAAAAACACAAAATTGGTTTCCTACAGAGTTAAGGTTCTAAAACGGTCTCTTTCCTGGCAGAAACACTAAACAGGCGAGTCGATTACATTTTTGTAATTTTTTCTTCAGATTTCTAGATTTTCCCTTAATATTTTTCAATTTATTTTACCATCAATGTATACTATCATAATGACTGTTGAGTTTTTACCTGATAATAAGGCTTATCTACCTTTGAAATATAAATATTATATTTTAATTTTTTTTATCTAATTGTGTGCCTCCATTTTGTGATTGGTGGTTCCACGTTTTTCTGAGGTGAGTCAATTCAGAGTTTTAACTAATAAGCTAATAAATAGGTACTGCTGCTCTGGTTTTCAGAATCAATTGTTAGTGTGGGAGTATTTAACCATTTGCTCTAAATAGAGTCGGTGCAAACCAAATTTGTGTGTCCATCCCTATCAACTATTTACTGAATCCAGGCAGAGGCCTGTATAGCCATTTATTGTTTGACTCTCTCATTTTCTTCTCGAGAAGGAGAGTGCTAAAAAAAAGGTGTAATTTTTAAAATAGAAATCAAAAATTCATTTGAAAAGTTTTAATTAGAACATCTCAAGAATTTTGACAATTCCTGAATTTAATTTATCTCACTCTCAATTTTATCTTGTGGTACCTATAGTAGGTATCTTAATTTAAAAGGGAAGATTTATCTAAGTTTTTGGGGAAAATCAAGAAATTTATTTTGTTTATTGTCAATTTTTCTTACATTTTTTTTATTTAAATTTTGCCTGTTTAGTGCGACTGCTAGAAAAACAGCATTCTGCTCAATTATAACGAGTATGAAAAAAAAAACAAGATTGGTTTTGTGCAGGGTTTAGGTTCTAAAACGGTCTATTTCCTGGAAGAACCACTAAAAAGGCGAGTCGATTTCATTTTTGTAATTTTTTCTTCAGATTTCTAGATTTTCCCTTAATATTTTTCAATTTATTTTACCATCAGTGTTGAGTTTTTACCTGATAAATCTTATCGTATCTATCTTTGAAATATAAATAGGAAATTTTAATTTTTTTTAATCTAATTGTGTGCCTTCATTCTGTTATTGGTTGTCCCACGTTTTTCTGAGGTGACTCAATTCAGAGTTTCATCTAATAAATAGGTACTGCTGCTTTGGTTTTCGGAATCAATTATTAGTGTGCGATTATTGGATAATTTGCTCTAAATGGAGTCGGCCAAATTTGTGTGTCCATCCCTATCAACATTTTACCGAATCCAGGCAGAGGCATGTACCAAACTGTTAACTGTCAAATTTTTAAGAAAAGTAACATACATTGTGAAAAAATATTTAATAAAATTATTGTTTGTTGGATTTTGAGTGGTTTCATTTGCGCATTAAAGCGCTACACATTCATTTTTGAATTCCACGACCCTATACTTCTCTTGTCTTAAAGTACAAATAAACTAAATTTATTTTTAACAACTCGCAGAACTCAGAGAAGAGGAGAAGAATGTCTAAGACTTAAATCAATTCACGTCCTAGCGGGATTGTATTTTTGGAACTATAAATCCAAAAGGGCTCAAATTTTCAGGGTTTGTAGTCTCTCATTAGAATGAGATTCCTTGAAAATACACAAAGTGAGAGTGAGCTTCACTAGGAAAAAAGAGAACGCATTGGCACTAACCAATACAGATGAATGTATTTATAAGACAAGATGGCTATAGTTAAACTAGGTACTGCCTGGGCTTGAGATGACTTTTGAAAGAAATATAAAACTTATAATTTCCGGTGAATTCTAATAATGTAATAATAATTTTATTTTTTTTAAAATCGCTCTCCTCAACGACAAAAATTCATCCGCTGGCTACAACTGAAATACTAACTTTCCCATAAATTCCGAATGCATTTACACTTCTTGGAATTATTAGATATTATCTTATATAGTTTTAAAATTTAGGGTTTTAGGACGATGGTGAGTTTATAAAAAACATTTAACATTTAGCATTTAAAAATTTAGACCCTGTTTATAAAAGAATAAAAAATAAATAAAAATAAAAATAATAATATGTACATAATAAACTAGCCCTGGTTTTTGCACACCACATGGCCCCAGCCATCAGGAACAACATAGATCCTATAATAAAAACTGAATTATTTAGCTGGATTCAGGGCTTCCGTAACGTAAGACCTGAAACTTAAGCGTAAGAAAAATAAACACCATGTAAATCAATGGGACAATTCATAGTGCCACCGTAAGACTTAAGCCGTAAAGCCCATTTTACAATTGACGTAATGTAACTGTAAAAACGTAACATAAGTCCTAAGAATGCGCACATTTGATTTATTTGCGTCAAATATGTCACTGGAAACGCAACGTAAGAGAAATGGGAGTTGGTCTTCGACGAGTTGGTCATCTCTTACGTTGCGTTTCCGGTAACATATTTGACGCAAATAACTCTGATATGCGCATGCTTAGGACTTATGCTACGTCTTTACGGTTACGTTACTTCCATTGGAAAATGGGCTTAAGCCGTAAGAAATAGTTCAATTCCATTTCCTGCGTTACGGCTTAAGTTTCCGTTAAGGATCGCAAGGTTTCGTTAGCGGCCGATCGTGAAACTAACATTTGGCCACCTGTTTTTTTGATTGTTTATGTTTTTGATTGTGTCTGGTGGTTAAATTTCTTTTCAGTTCATAATTAAATAAAAATATAATATTATAATACATGTATATTAGAAAAAAACAGGTTCATTTTGGTAGATGGACTGCAAAATTGGCGGATGCGGCAGCACTGAATTACTAGATAAATATGGAATCCTAACCTAAGAATATAATATAATTTCTTACTTCTTTAGTTTTAAGTTGGCTCTGAATTGACTGCCATTTTTTTCTTAAGCTTTACGGCTAAAGACAGCTCAAGTCTTAAATCTTACGTAAGGGAAGCTCTGAGCGGACCTTTACACTTGGGTACATCCATAATTTAAAAATTTTCAAAAACCAACAGAAATACACCTTGCTAGACTAAAAAAATATAGATTAAAAATATTGATGTAGGCCCACCTTCTTGAACACACCTGCATATTAGCTGTCAACGTTAAATTTGACAACGCTTCCAAAAATATGTGCCTATTTGTTTTTTTTTATGTTTAAAATCTCCCTAAGTAATAATGAACTCGCAGAATAGATGCTGCTTTCAAGGCACCTTTTTCCTTGAAGTTTTATCATCTATCAGCATAATGCAAACCACTAAATGTTGTGCTACCGTGAAACTATGCGATTTGGTTAAATTTATGGTTTTCACCTACAACTTGAACGGTGATGTACAAAGTCAAGTTCAGAGTGCTCTAAATACGGCTGAAAGCTACAACTTTGTGAAACGAAATAATGACCGTTATTCTTTAATATGCCCCGCAGCTAGGCTACATTTATCGCCATCGCTTTGTCTCAAGGAAGAACTTAAGCGTATCCAGACAATATTTCCAAGTAAAAATAGGAAAAATAGTACAAGTAACTTATGCACGTCTAGGTCATCAAGATTAAGAAAGCCAGCTTCGAATGCCTTATGTGTATGTCCATCGAGCGGCGAAGAAAGTAGACAATGTCCAGTCACACGGTCAAAACGTAAGAATAAACCAGAAGAATGTAATGTTACAACTACAAACGATTGCCCTGCCCCGAGCTTCTTGGACAAATTCTGGCCATTATCTTTACCAAAAAAGAAAAGAAGCAATTCTACAAATACGCAACAATTAGCTAATTGTGGTTTGGAGAAGTGTCCGGCAACTAAATCGAGAAAAAAACGGAAACGACAAGTGAGAAATAGACCACGAATAAAGTGTTCTTTGGAAGATCTCAAAAGTAAAATTTTGGGCGGTAACAGAACTAAACGTGAGTGCACTTGTGAGTCTACGAGTGAGACTACGAGCGAGTTTTCAAGCGAACCTACCACCAGTAATACAAAAAAGGATATTATTCGGTCCTGCAATACAAATACATGTGAGGGACAGCGTGGAGATACTTCTTCAAATAGTTCGTGCTGATAAAATAATATATGTAACGAAAATAAATATTTGAAAAAAAAAACCTGCATTTGTCTTGAAAGAACCTTTCAGTGAATTACAAAAAACTAACCAAATCATCTAACAATCTTAATTCGCTCTTTTGCTTAAGTTAATATGAAATGTTTTCTTGGAAACATCATATCAGAAACTACAGAATATTAGATTTTTCGATAATTGATAAAAGTAGTAGGCTCTAGTTCAAAACTTTTTTTTTCTTACGAGCGTGCGCAAAGTAGTAGGTACTTTACAAGTTACACTTTTTGGCACTCCGAGCGCATAAGAGCCTTATTCGCACTAAATGCCAAAAAGTCAAAGTAATTGTCATCAAGCAACAATAAGAGTACCTGTCGACTTTGACACATGATAACAGATTTTTTCTCCGTTTTCATCAGTATAGGTAAATTATATTTTTCTTTCAGTAAATCTTGTTAAAAACTATTTATTTTATCAAAAACTAAGAAGTTACAACAAAAAATACTAGACTCTAATTGCTGCGGCAAAAGCCGATAACAAAAGAATCTTGATTCTAATTGCTTACTCTAAGCTAATAACAAGAGAATGATAGAAAAGCCTCCGCGCGCCGTATTTATATTAAAATACTGCTAACGATTGCATTTGTGTGAGCGAAACCTTGATGTGACGGTACTGTTCAAGGCAGTATCCCTTACTCAGCATCTTTATAATATGTGGGCTTTTACAGTGCCGTATGCTTATATTTAACATTGAAAAGGAGAAGTATGTATAATAATAACATAGGGTTTTATAATATAACTGGTACAAATACCGAATATACATATTTAATTTTTTTTTTTTTTCAATTTTGTTGATATGTGAGCTGGTAGGAGAAATATTGTTCCCAACACGTGCGCAAACTCTTCGTGTCGTTCGTCTAACTGTGTTGGCGTGTGGGAAAGTACTACTTTGCGCACTTGTTAGGAAAATAACTATATTGGTTAGTTAGAACAATTTTCTTTAAAAATATATTTTGCTAGCTTTTCAACTATAGAAACTGAAACAATATTCAAACACGGAAAAAAAGAAGACAAAAACAGGCAAATTAAATCATCCGAGACAGACAGACTGCCTCAAAAGGTAAAAATCCTCAAGAACGTAACCTAATAAAAACAATAAAAGTATTTGATTCGATTATTCAGACCGGCATTATATCCATGTGTACCGCTCCAGGAGGGGTAAAAAGCCAAGATAGAAATGTCAAAGATTAGATTTTATGTGCTCATTACGATGTCTAACAATATTTGCTGCGAATGTGGGAAGCGGTCAATGGTAAATATGTTTCAAATTGAATTTTGGAAACGCAATTTCTATTCTCCGAGATCTCGTTTCTTTTGCTTTTTTGCTCTCTTTGTATTTCGCGTTCGCCTTTTTTCTGTCACATACAGCCTTCGAGCGAGAGTGTCTCGAATACTATTAGGTGCCTTTTTTGACATTTATAAGTTGAGCAAGTAATTTCTTATCACCTAGTCAGCTGTATTCTCATGGATTTATTGTAAGATTTTTTTGTTATTTAGTAGGAAAAATTGATGAAAAAATGTCTTATTTCTTCCAATGTACAAAAAACTGTCACCGCAAATCCAGTATTATAATATTTAACAACCTCTTTCACTTAAATTTAAATCCGTTAGTTTGTTTGTTAAGATAAATTTATCATTTACGTAACATGTTCCATTTCTTCTAATTTTCATTATAAAGTTGTATTTTTGTCATTTCAGAATCAGAAAAATAATAATTCATAGTTACTTAAGTAATTTGAAAGTATCTACAAAATTTAATTAATTCAATATAATATCAGTACTGGCATCTATCCATTATGAGCATAAAAATGCAAATATCTGTTATTAAAAGAAGGTATCGCCATCTAGTACCTGATAAATTTATTTTTTTAAATATATTTTTTATTATTTCTCATTGACAGTCATTCATATTTTCATTTGAAGAAATTATATTTATCTCACTTTAAGCAAATATATATATATTTCTGTCTTTCTCTAAAAACACAAGATTGGTTTCCTACAGGGTTCAGGTTCTGAAACGCTCTCTTTTCTGGCGGAACCACTAGACAGGCAAGTCGATTTCATTTTTTGTAATTTTTTTTTTCAGATTTCTAGATTTTCCCTTAACATTTTTCAATCAATCAGTGTATACTATCATATTATCATTGTTGAGTTTTTACCTGATGAATCTTATCTTATCTACCTGTAAAATATAAATATTATAATTTAATTTTTTTTATCTAATTGTGTGCCTCCATTTTGTGATTGGTGGTCCCACGTTTTTTCTGAGGTGAGTCAATTCAGAGTTTTGGGCTAATGAATAGGTACTACTGCTCCGTTTTACGTCGATTATTGGACCATTTGCTCTAAATAGAGTCGGTGCAAACCAAATTTGTGTGTCCATCCCAGAGATAAATACTATATAAACTGTCGAGAATGGAATCTCAGTGTAAATTTTGTTGTCAACAAAATTGAGCCAAGTCAGCGCCATCTACCATATTAAAAACTCACTATTTACTGGTTTTTCATCGACGCTACAGACACCTACTTTACATAGGGCTTCAAGACATTTTTATGATAGATTGCGCCCTGTTCGCATTACAGTCGGTCTGTTCAAATTTGTTTATTCTAGACTTTGGGACATTAATGTTTGCTTAAATTAATTAATGTTTTGTTAATTAGATCAAAAGACAGTTCCTTTTTCGATGGTTAAGGATATCCTTAACATATTTATTCAAAGTTCTGATTGATGTTTAATTGAACCTGTCATTAATCTAATTAACAAAGATAAAAATAGATCTTCCAATCTATAAAGTTTGAAGGTCTTCGTGAAACACACAAAACCACATTGAAATCACTTAGAAACACTTGACATGAATTATTAGTTATGATCAAATGAATATTTTGGCATATTGTCATATGTTGACATGTCAATTTCATGTCAATGTTATCGACATCGGACGTGTTCCTGATGTGCTGGTATTTTACAATTCTGTTGTTGTCAGCGACATCTTTAAAAACGGAAAAGAGTTATTATGTGGTTTATTACTGGCAATAAGAGATCGCCTGGCCTGGTCCATCCCTATCAACATTTTACCGAATCCAGGTAGAGGCTATACAGGACTCTCTCATTTTCTTCTGGTGAACCTAATACTGCGTTAATCTTTTCTGGGTACCTTCTCGACCTAAAAGATCACTATTTGGAGTCTGGATCAGCTGGAGTGACTTCACACCAGCAATCTATCCTCTTTCCTGGATACAGGAAACAGCACGAAGAGCTCCAATTCACGAAAGTGAAACCCCAACATCCATTAAAGAGCTCCGAATTGGAAAGGTACCTACATATTGTGTCAGATTCACCAGAACAACCTAACTGTTAACTGTCAAATTTTAAACAAAAGTAAAATTGTCATTGTTATTTACATTGTGAACAAATATTAAATAAAATTATTGTTTGTTGGAATTTGAGTGGTTTCATTTGCACATAAAGGGGCTACACGTTATCTTTATTTTTGAATTCTACGACCCTATAGGTTCTCTTGTCTTAAAGCACAGATAACTGAATTTATTTGTAACACTATATGGTGTGTCTCATAGAATAATTCGCTCATTCGAAACAACATAAAAATGTTTATGCTAATTACCATCAGTATTGTGCTAATTCATGCCCAAATCGCAAACCCGTATTGTTTCACAGCCAATATGTAATAATAAGTATTATTGTGGACATATCAGTTCCACGCAGCAAACTCTCTGTGTGTGTACGATTTTGAACAAGATTGGATTTGCAATTGGTTCCAAAATGTTCAACAAACCGCATATCAGATTGCCTTTATTGAAAGCGCTTACCGTTATGAATTTTAAATACTCTTCAAGTTTCAAGCCAATTTTCCGATACTCATTGTTAAAGGTTGAGTTTTAAATTTCAACTGAAAACACCTAAGAATAAAATAGTGTAATACTCGTTCATAGAGATTTTCTCCAGCGCCCATCAGTACTGAAAATATTTATTGGACCTTCCTCGACCTCCTTATAAATGTTTGTCACGATGCAGTAGTGCACATTTCGCAGAACTAGTGCACGTCAGTCTATGAACGATTTACAATTGATACGTTGATGAGATCGCCGTTTTCTGAATACTAAAAACGGCCCGATTGTCGGACCCGCTTCTATGAGTATTCTGCTATTAACTGGCACGTTTAATCGGAAATTTTTACTCTGATTTTCGGAATAATTGCCTTTTCCGTGATACGTTGGCAACATGATTGCTTTTAATCAGGTGGACTAGATCTAAAGAAAAAATTTAATAAAGTTTTCGCTGGTTGTTCTTTTTCTTTTGCTTTTTGTATTTTCATCTAAAAATACCAAACAAAAACCTTTATAAAGTTTATCTTCATTGCATTGAAGTCTTGGCAACATTGATTCTCACTCCAACGAAAATTGTCTAATATTATAAAACTTGATAGAATATTGAGAATCACGTTATGAATTAAGCAGCAAAACATTATTATATCTAACCTCAATTAATCAGAACCCAACGGTTAATTGGGGCGATTTATCAGCCCTATCCAAAATGCCAGTTTATCGAATATCGCCAATAATAAATAATGAAATATTTTGTTAGGGATGATAACCAAATACAGGCAAAAAAGGCCATCATTTGTTGAAACACAATCCAAGGGTTGGAGGGCAGCAGCCGGGTGAGGGAGGGCATCGCCAGTCAAAAGACAAATTGTGTAGCCTCAATTTATTACCCTGACATGTCAACTTTGTTATCGCGATCAGAAGTAAATTAAAGCGCTTAATTTGTCAGCCTAAGGGCGATCTCGAATTATATGAGGGGGAACCATTTCTACCAATTAAATGATACATTGTATCTACGCGATGTGCCAGGTTGTTCGGGTTGGGAAGTTATTATTATAACGATCAGTGGCGTTTTGTTCCTGCCATAGAATTATTTTTTACGAA